AAAAAACAGGACAACACAGCACAAAGCAGCACATAAACAAACACCATAAAACAAAGTAAATATGAGACCAGTATGACCACGAGTGATGCACCAACAGGACCCTTAAATTATCCTTAACAGGCAAACCCTTGCATTCTTCTGTTCTATTAATTTTTGCACATTCCCTAAGCCTATGTGCAGTTTTGGTTGCACATAATGAGGTCTGACTTTTATTCAACGATAGTTTTGTGATGCAAACATATCACTCTTTTGAACACATTGTTTTGAGAAGAAAACGCTTTATTTTACTGTCCCCAGCTAACCTGCCGGACTACTTCCGTCAGCACCGAAAATGGCCAGTATCTCGGCTCACCGGACGCTGTCGGGGGTAAGACAGTGTGGATGCACGACACTGCTCACGGGGATGACACACAGAATTATGGCAAAAATCCCAAACTATCTTTAGGACTTTAAAGGTCCTATATTACACAAAAGTGACTCTTTAATGTTAGAATGTTGTTACCCTAATGTAGCTAGAAAAGATTAGAAATTATACAAAACATGTCTTAACATTTCAAGATTTCTAATGAGATAGGTGGGCCTGTCTACAGTTTTGGAGCGTGTTTTCAGTCCGGGTGCAGGAGGAGAGCGCAGCAGGATATCAGGCGCAGCATTCAGTCTGTTTTTGTGCTTTGTCTTTATTTTTGTGAGCACAGAAAATCTCATGTGTCGGAAGTGTATATTGCAGACCTACACTACTGGTCAAAGGTTTTAGAACACCCTAATTTTTCCAGTTATTTCTTGCAGTTCGAGTCGTGCAAGTCCAATGAAGAGCTTCAAATGGTACAAAGGTAAGAACTGAACAGACAGAGGTTAAACACAAAAAAGATAAAAGAACAAAACACAAGTCCAAGCTCTGCCAAAACGACCTCAGGAAAAAAGAACAAGATGACAAAGCTTGAAAACCTGGAGTGTCCAGCAGCAGCACAGTGTCCAGACTTAAACCCATGGAGCTGGTTTGGGATGAACTGGACAGAAGAGTGAAGCAACCTACAAGTGCCACACATTTATGGAAACTTCTGCAACAGACTTGGGAAGAACTTTCTGAACAATATTTGATTTCTGTTGTAAAAAGAACGAGCCACGAGTGTGTTCAGCTGTTCTATCTGCCAGAGGTGGACACTTTTATGAGTCAAAAGTTTAGAATACGTTTTGGAGTTGTCAATTAATATAACAGATGCAGAATGGTTTCAGATGTGTAAAATACACCACAGTACCACTAATTCACTGTTGTGGAGGGAATATTGTTGGAAGAATTTGACACATTTTTTCATTACACCTAAAATCAAAAGTAGACAGATCTCCACCCCGCAAGAGTGCTGGAGTTGTGTGGAGAAATGGACGCTGATCACACATGTGTTTTGGAGTTGCCTGAAAATTAGGGTATATTGGGAACAACTGAACACAACTTTAACGACTATTCTGGGATATGGAATTCCGAACACATGTCTGGTGATGGATCTGGGAAATATATCTGATGCAGTAAGGAATGAGGACATGTATTTGGCAAAAATCATTTTAGCTGCATCTAAAAAGGCAATTACAAAGAATTGGTTACAACCAGATTCACCTGCACAACAAGACTGGATCAGGATTGTGGAGAATATTTCAATGATGGAAAGAATAACATATAATCTTAAACTTAAAGGGTACAAATACAATGAGCAATGGGAAAAGTGGAATGTATTCATCAATGACACCAGAAAAACAATATAGTGCACACAAATGTCAATATCAAATGCATGTTTAAACAAGAACCTGTCACTCCAGACTGTCGTTACATTGTTTTTTGATTTTATATTGTTTTTGTATGTTTTGAAATGTTACTTAAAACCAATAAAAACATAGTTATAAAAAAAAAAAAAAAAGAATACACTTTGGTCAACACTAAATAGTAAAAAAATGGAAAAAGTGTGGTGTTCTAAAACTTTTGACCGGTAGTGTACATGCAGATCCTGACAAGGCGACCCCAAAAAAATCTCTTGCACCCCACCTGAGGGTCATGATTTCTATGGAAACAGATCACTCAACTTCTTTAAGCCTTCATTACGCTTCTCAACACTTTTGTAGATAAGCAATGTGTCCTAAAGTGCACAAAAGACTGAATAAATCCTCAAATATGATCTTCCTTCCTGTGTATAGCGCCCCCTACATGTGTGAGTAAAGCACCGCTGTAAGTAGAAGCATTGGAGGCGTGGACAGTAGGGATGTGCAAAAATATTGAAATGATTTAAATTTTAAAAATTTGAATGATGATGATACAGTATCAATATCGTGGGCTGCTGTATCGATATATCGCCAAGAGTATTTTTTGGTATATTTTACAAATTTTTTTGTTACAGTGCTACAGCTTTGTTGTTTTAGTGGAAGGAAACTTGTTTATGTGACACATTTGACATTTTCACTGTTTTGATTATTAAAGTGTGCATGTTTGATTGATTGATACGTTTTTTTGTTGTTGTTGTTTGTTTTTTTTTTCATGTTTGTGCCAAGAGAGAAACAATAATCATATTTACTACATATACAATGTAAACAACAGAAAATCACATTTCTCGAAAAGGAGTGGGAAGACGAAAAACTTATATATACCCACCCCAGTTCATGACATAGTTTCAAAAATGATGTGGTTGTTTCTGTACATTGATCAATAAATTACATATTATGCATACAAAACATAATTTTAACCCCAAAACCTTTTTTTTTTTTTTTTTTTGTATTGTACTGTACACATATTCACTTTGCACCAGAAGTGGTTTAACAAAGACAAATCGATTTGAAATATATTGTATCGAATTGAAAGCTCACTGTATCGAAATATGCATCGTATCGTGGCCTGTGTATCGAGGTATGCATCGTATCAGCAACTTCTTAACGATACCCAGCCCTAGCGGACAGTTCAGTGGGTCAGAAGTCAGATCGGCGGTGAGCAGGTGAGGAGCAGTGCTAAGCTCGTTATGTGATTGGAGCAGAGCGTATGTCTGCACACAACTCCTGCAGAGACAAGGGTTCAGTAAAATGTTCCACCGTATGGCATTAAACGTATTCATCTTCTATTAAATTTCAGATGTTTCAGATAAATATCCCTTGAAAAACATGCATTCTTAGTAGGAGCAGGTTAGGTTTTCCACAGATCTGACATGTAACTTGGACTGGTGGTGTTACATACACACAGACAGGTTTAATGTCATATCAGGGAACTTTCAAGACACAAAACAGCATGTCCCTGGAGACAAGCAGGTGACAAACAATCCACCAGAAAAGTGACATACATTAGCATGCTAGTTGTTTTTTTTAGCTGTACCATGATGGCAAAACTCTTTACTTTTCTGTAAGAGTTTTGAAAAGCTTTTATGAACTCATCATGAATAACTGGCTCTATTCACACTTAAGTCACAAAGTGTGAATAGAAGATGTCTGGAAACATGTGATGACAACTTTCGGTGTTGTTCCCAACACTGGACTCGCTGACCAACTGAAATAAATGTGATCAGTGGTAAAATGAAGACTGCAGATGTACCTGCTGTTTGGAATCATCTGGAATTTGGTGCCTCATCTCTTCTAATCACATGTACCCAGTGCATGTGTCAGTGAGGAAATGATGAAAACTGAGGTATGATTGTAAATGTTGATTATCCGAACATAATGGAACACTGCAATGACACGGAGATGAAGAAAACTGGAACATTTTCTCATTTTCCCTCGATTTTGTCAGACTTACTACCACAAAAGTGTGTGTTCAGTCTGTGTGCTCTTCTGTGTGTGTTATTTCTCATTGTGTACATTGTGATTATGGCTGTTATTGTCTGTTTGTATTTTCACTGCCTTTTAATTGAACTGTTCTGCACAATTGCACTTTTTTTTTTTTTTTTTTTTTTTTGTATAATTCTTATTGTAGTGTTTTTAGGGTGACCATGTTTACCATCTGTCCAGGGACTACAGATGAAAAACAGCCTCTCTGGCTAATTGTGGTACATTTACAGAAATGTTGAATAATGTACACTGTCCCTGTTAAATCAACCAAATAAATAAATAAATAAATAAATAAATAAATAAATAAACAAACGAGAGCCCGCCGGAAGTTGCCATTGCATGTTTCCAAACGTCTTCCTGGTTTATGACGTAAGCGGGTATAGAGCCTTTTAGGATGCTCTGTATGCATAAGATGAACTAGTTTTGTTTTTCTTATAATTTTAAATTAGAACAGGTATAGCATATTTAATACAAGCATTTACTCATAACTTACTTATAATAACTTTAATACAAAATTGGGAATAAACAACAACAACACAAAACGTGACATCACCATTACAGCCATTATAAAAACTGGTAGCCTATATATATTTAAAAAAAAAAATGCATAAGCCTCATCTGGCCGCTCTTATAAATTTTCATCTTATAAATGTGTGTTGATTATGAAATTGTCCATATCCAAATGACAGCGGTGATTTGAGTAAACAGCGACGTAATGCTTCCTACGTACGCGCGCTTTATTTCATCACGCGCAATAACCATCTATGATCCTGTTTAAATAACGCGAGACCCCGAGCCCGTGACCCTGTAATTAAAGGTATCAGCGGAGAGACGGAGCGGGGAAGGGCGGGGGGAGGAGGAGGAGGAGGAGGCGCGCGTGCTCGTGTGTACGCGTGCGTGTCCGTGCACCGCTGCGAGATGAGCCGAGGATGAGGCGCGCAGTAATCCCGTGGAGGAGAGCACCGGGACACGTCCAGGAACGAGCGCGTAAAGAGTTGGAGAAGAATCGGACGCGCTTTTACGCACGGGGTCTCCAAAACGCTTTTACGCACGCTCACTGGGATACGCTGTTTCTTATTTGGGATATTTTAAACTGACTTTTGAAGAAGTAGAAAAGCAAAGCCACTCTTGGAAGTTGGAGTGGGACCATGCCGCGCGGTGGAGCGGACACTCGGTGGTAGCATGGCCCGCTCCTCTGACGCTGCCCGGCGATGGCCACGTTCCACCGCCTCGCCCTCGCGTCTTCCCTGGGGGTCATCTGCTTCTCGCTCGTGTACATCTTCACGGGGTGCTGCGAAACGGAGCTGGCGGCGGCGCGAGGGGGGTACGTCGTGAGAGTGCCCGTGCGCGCGTTCGATGCCCCGGGATTGAACGCGTCGTCTCCCCCCGCTGCGCCCGGAGGAGCGGCGGTGGGGACCGGGTTGGAGAAGGACTACACCGCCACGAGGAGACTGCCCCAGGCGCTCATCATCGGGGTGAAGAAGGGAGGCACCCGCGCGCTGCTGGAGTTCCTCCGGTTGCACCCGGACATCCGCGCGCTGGGCTCCGAGCCGCACTTCTTTGACAGGCATTACGCGCGCGGTCTGGACTGGTACAGGTAAGCTACGTCTGGTGGCGTTTTTCTTATGAGTACCGCTGAATGTCAAACTTTTCCCGGGACTATAGCTCCGTGATAGTCACATGTTAAAGGACCCGTATGACAAGATTTTCTGATCCATGTTCTAATGTAGTTTCTTCATTACAATCACAAATGAAGTTGTGTTTTTTGTTTCATTCACACATGTTTAACACACAAACCCTGCAGATTAAAGATGAGTTATCCTTCTTCTTCACAAAACAGTGTATTGCACCTTGTGATGTCATGTGGTAATTAGGGGTGTGCAAAAATACTGAAATATCGATATATCATATTGTTCAATTTGTTCGCGTACAGGATTTTTAGTTATATTTTCCTAAATAATTTTGTGTAAGAGCTACCATTGTGTTAACATTTTCACAGTTTTGAGTAAAATTGGTGTTTTTCATCAGTCAGACTGGTGCCACCTAGTGCCTCCACTCAATTTCATTTCTCTCCAGCCACTAGTTCAGGAATCAGAATACACTAGACAGTTTGCAAGAATCCTGGAACTTGTAGACTGTGCACCGGCTAAACAGCTGTGAGCTGTGAAGCCATGACGTCAAACTTAAGTGGCGTGTTGGCCACAACCAACCTGTGCTGCGATAGCTGACTGCATACACTATCCTCCTTTGTCAAATACAAACTTCACATTTTTTATTGCACCTTTAATTCGCAAGTTCATCTCACAGAAACAACAGTGATCAATGACAGACATGTTCACTCTCTGCTTTTTTTGCTGTTGTGCCAGCGATTAGTTGGACACCACTGAGAGTGGTGAATGGGATGATAGAGATTCCTATGATTTTAAATGTAACAAAAAATTACCCCAAAATCTACTTAATTAGAGTTACTTGAGTATTTATGTACTTTTCATTTCTAGTAATAAAGCTGCTCAAGTTGTGGTGTGGTCCTGTGTGGATTCCTCACTTATCTTATGCATTCAGAGTTTGTAAGTTTCTAAGCTTTTTACAGCTTTCAAACACTGTAATTCTAACAACAACCAGGATGCTAACAGCGCACTTCCTAAAACAATAAAACACTTTATAATTAGATGCAGACAGAAAAACAGTGGACTTATTTTGACCTCAAGAGCTGCTCATACAATATTACTTTCAGAAACTATGGTGAGAACTTTATTTGACCTTTGACCTTACATTTGTGAAGAGTTCATGGATAGGCCCAGTGATTACAGAGATATGAGGTACAAAAATGCATAGTACACTCCGATGGCCAATGTCCAAAAGCTTTTTTTTTTTTTTTTCATGTTTCAGCAAAAAAAGCTCAGTCAGATTATTTTTCTTGCTTTGGACCACAGTACACAGAGATATGAAACATAAACCAGGTCAACAAATCTATGTCCAAACAGTCATTACAAGAAAGCAACATGTGAAAAATCTCTCAGTCTTCCAGGTAGAATCATGGCAAAGGAGAAATTTGATTTGTCTACAGGACAAAGTTTATTTGGTTGAATATGTTCCACAGTTCATCCAAGCTGCTTCTTCACTTCATGTCCGTCTATCAGAACTGAAGAAGCAGCGTTAATGAGCTGTGAAACATATTCAACCAAATCAACTTTGTCCAGTTGACAAATCAAATTTCTCCTTTGCCAAGAAAGCAACATATTAAAGGCTAAATAAAACAGTTAGGCTGCCTGTAGAGGTCTCATATCACGCAGAATTGACTCTGGTGAGCCATGTTATAATGTTGTTACCTCATCAAAAACAGACCTGGAGCTGTGTTTTCTTTCAGAGTAAACCTTTATTATTAGTCTGTCTACATCTCCAAAGCTCAAAATGCTCTGTCTCACCTTGTGATGTCATGAATCAGTAGTTTTCAAGTGAACAGTTCCTTTTACCTTTAGATCAGTAGAGATTGGGAGTTCCAGTATTACTTTTTCAGTCTGAGAGAAGTACATGTACCAGGGTTTTGGAGCAGGACTTTTAGTGTTAAAAGTATTATTGTACATAGTTTCTTTTTGTTATAGCTAATATTATCTTACTGATCAGCCAGTCTAGGTTGACCAGAATTAAAAACAAAAACAAAAAAAAAAAAGAAAGAAAGAAAAACTGGGGTATTGCAGTTTTTTGGTGGTTGGTAATAATAAAATTGTGAAACAAGTGCATAATTAAGGAAAATTGTTCTGAAGAGACCATTCATGACAGACATCTGAGTCAGTATCGTCACATTTTCTCTCCAGCGACTAGGTCAGGAATCAGAATACACTAGACGGTTTGCAAGAATTCCAGAAGTTGTAGACCCTGCACCAGCCAATCAGCGAAGAGCTGAACCAACCCGAGTCACCACAGCAGACTGCATACTAGGGATGGGCATTCGATGACATTTTCTTAATCGATCGTCAGAAGAATTAACTATCGATTATCGATTAATCATTAACGTTTTTATATTAAAATGATCATCATTATTATTACTATCTGCACTACTAATCTGCATAAATAAATTCAACTTTACGACATATAAACCGTAACCACTCTAGAGCCACATTAATCCGTTTGACATTATAATGTGTTTAATTCAGTTCTGTGCAACTCTCACAGAAACGAAACTTAAACCACATCGCTAATTTGCATAAACTCAGCGAAGATAAAACTACAGCTCTTGTGTCGCTGATGCGGTCAATTTCTGTTGGATTAAAAGACATGATTCAGGTGAATACAGGTTAGTGTGACCAGATTTGCATTTGTCAAAACCAGGACACTGTACGGGGGGAGGGAGGTGGGGACTCGTCATCGACATTGAGCGACTCTCACCTGGTAAAACTTTTTCCCACTGGACACAGAAACATATGTGCTGCTTTGTACACTGTGCACATGGACTCACACTTGTCCCGAACGCAACGGAAAGTGTGGAATTTCTTGTACAAGTCATCGTTAAATACACATTTGTGCTTCGGTACGTTGCAGACTGACTGTCTGCTCGCTCCTTCTGAGTGCAGAGAGACACATGTACAGACCCTGTTTGGTCACACTACACACAGCAACCTACATTCGGTTTGTCGATTAAAATGAACGTAATCAATGAAATTCTTAATGATCAATTATAGATTAATCGACTAATCATGTCCATCCCTACTGCATACACTTTCCTCCTTTGGACTTCCTTTGTCAAATACAAACTTTGCATTTTTTATTGCACCTTTAATTCACAAGTTCATCTCGCAGAAATGACAGTGATCATTGACAGACATGTTCAGTCTCTGCTTTGTTTGCTGTTGTGCTGGAAATTACTTGGACACCACTGAGCATTGTGGAGCATGACATACGTCACAACCAAATAGCAGTGATTGGTTAAATAAAAAAAAGCACAGAAAACCATCTGATGAATCAGGCAAGTATTTTACCAAAACAAATGAGAACTTATGCTTCTCTTTACTGTTGGCAGGGATCAAATTGGCCCAAAATAGGGACACCTGGGACATTTCTTGTATAAAACTGGGACAAATCAATGGTTTTGGATAAATCTGCTGGGACAGGGGACACAGACTCAAAACTGGAACTGTACCTGGTAAATTCCAGGGCTGAAATGATCCAAATGATTCTAGTAAAGGTGTGTGGAGTTAACACAGTGGAGCACTTCCTGTTTTACCACATGACATCACAAGGTGGAACAGTGTTTTCCAGTTTGAGAGAAGAACTCAGCCTAAATGTGCAGGGTTTGTCACAACTCCAGGTCTGTTTGTGATGAGGAAACAACATTAGAACACACTGTAGGTCAGAAAATCTTGTCCCCTTTAGTATCCATGTTACTTAAAGTGGCAGTTTCCAGGAGGCCACCATCTGCCCTCTCTGTGAGCGTGCACGAGGGTCACTGTGTGCACGTGTGTGTGTGTGTGTGTGTGTAATGATGTTCCAGATGTTGTGTGGCTAAGCTCCTGATGTCAGACTTGGAGACAATGGAAAGCTCGCTGTGTCATTCACATATCAAGTCATAATCTTAATGTTAATGCCATAGACTGTTTAAATAAATGTCCAACGTGCCAGAAATAGAAAGTGAGCATGGACGCGCTTCCAGCTCCATCAACTCTGGTTCCAGTTTACTTTCTACTGAAAAACTGCTGCCCCTTTCTCTGTAACTGCTGTTGTCAGGCGTCTGTGTGAAGTTGGCCCTCATCAAACTCAAACTTACACAAAAACTATGACTGCGTTCAGACTGCAGCCTGAAGTGACCCAAATCCGATTTTTTGGCTTCTATGTTCCTGTATCTGATCTTTTAATGACTTAGTGTGAACCACACAGATCCGATTTTTTCAAATGTGACCCAGGCCACTTGGATATGTGCTCCTCAAACCGATACATATCCTTTTGACATGTGACTTGAGTGTGAACGGCCAAAGCGCATTCATGCGACCTACACATTATCAACAAGCCACAAACGTCACTATTCTGCGCTGAAGTCAGCGAAAATTGTTAATGAACTTGTTAATGAAGCACATCACCATTCACCACTCTTGGCTCCGTCTCTGCATCCAAATGTTCATTTCTACAGACGTCGTTGCCGCTGCCCCACAAAACACCACGGCCAAAAACCTCGTCCTTCTCCTTCTCAATCTCCTCCTTAAAACAAGTAAGTTGTTCATGTTCTGGCTCCGGTACGAGAGGAACTTTAAAATCTCCAGGTGCTCAATGCTGCGTCCATGTTTGGACAACTTCTGTAAACACAGAGACGCTCGCCGTGGTTGACGTCATTGTGTCTCCAGTGCACATGTGGGACACTTTTGGGCTGTTAATGTTCACACTGGAGTCACATACAAGTCACATTTAATTGGAAATGTGAACGACCTCGCAAAAAACATCAGATTTCACAAAAAAATCTGAATTGAGCGTTAAGCCCTGCAGTCTGAACGTAGCCTATGTCAGTCATTTGTGCTTCATTTGTTCTGCAAAAGGTTTCGTTTGTGCTGCTTTAGTTTATGAGATATTAATGATTCTTTTATAGGTCAAATTGGGGTCAGCAGCTTCCAG